CACAGCTAAAAACAGCACCTATTTCAGTGGTGCCTGAAATTCACAGAAAATGAAACAAAATCCCACATAATGACAACCATTTAAAAGTCTGTGTCCTCTAGGAATCAAATAAAAAGACTCAGTAGCATGTCACAGAGGAGGATTGAATCATAAATGAAGTAGATTTAGAGGTACCTCCTTAAAGTAATGATGAAACACTGATTTTTCTAGTGTCTCCCCCAGCACTGGTGATAGTAGGTCACTTCTAATTACCTTTTCCTTTCTGGGCTATATATAGATAAATGCTTGGGATATTAAAATGCCTTGTGGGCTGGTTATTTAATTGCTACAGAATTGATTTCATGAAGGAAAGAAAAACAGATTAGATCCTAAGATGTAAATGTGAGACTTGACAGACTGCAGTGTGTGCTCAAGTCTATCAATAGAACTGCCAGCCCCCAGTCTCTAGCTGGATCCTTACAGCACAAGAAGAACACATTTGATAATTATAAGAGCAGATGCAACTGTCCTTCCCTCCAAAATAACAAGCAATGGTGTATTTTTGGGTTCTAATTTCTCCTGCCATCCTGTATATTATATACATTATCAAAACAATTTTAGGTTAGAATGGCATCTCTGTTTGCTTATGAAGACTTCATGCTTCCCTTTTGCTCTTTTCTTTTTTCTTTGTTTATTCCTCACTTCAATATCACAGGTGGTGATGGTATGCTCTATTTTGGACACTAGAGAAGTAGGTTTTGTGTTTTTGCTGTGTCTCATGACTGCAAATTAGGAAGTGCACAAAATATGTTTTCTCTGATCTTGCTTCAGAGAAATCTTGCCATTTCAGACAAGATACCCAAATAACAGAAAACATCAGGATTAATATGGCTTTAAAATTCATTTACCTAACGTTTATTTGCTTAGCAAATGTCAGTTTAGTATTTACATTGTGTCAGGCGCTGCTCTGTATGCAGTGACAAAGTCCTTGCTCTCACTTTCCCTCCTCTCCAGTTGGGAAACACACCAAGAGCAGAAATGTAACAGATGCCCCTCAACTTATTATGGGACAGTGTCCCAGTAAACCCGTTGTAAGTTGAAACGTAAGTAAAAAATGCATTTCACACTTACCTTGACCTACGGTTGGGCAAAATCATCTAACACAAAAACTATGTTATTATAAAATATTGAATATCTCATGTGATTTATTGAATACTCTACTGAAAGTGAAAAACAATGGCTGGCTGAGTACTTGACATACAGTTTCTACTGAATGTGTGTGGCTTTTACCCCACTGTAAAGTCAAAAATGTCTTAAGCCATAGTAAGTCGGAGGCAGTCTGCCTAAGGTCATGACAAGCGCAATTAAGGTATATTTTATTAAAATATTTTCAGGTATATTTTTCTTTATTGCAATTATGAAGGTAGGGTAGCATATTAATCTTCTTGAACTGCTATAACAAAATATGATAGATTGAGTGGCCTAAACAATAGAAATTTATTTATCCCTGTTCCGGAGGCTAAGAATTCCAAGATCAAGGTGCTGCCAAGGTAGGTTTTATTCTAAGGTTTATTCTTTTGGCTTGCAGGTGGCTGCTTTTGCTCTGTATTTTCAGAGAAACATTTCTTTGTGTGCTTCCAGAAAGACAGAGAAAGAGAGAGAAAAAAAACTCTCTAGTATCTCTGCTTATAAGGTCATTAATTCTATAATACCAGGTCCCACCCTTATGACCTAATTTTGCCTTAATTAGGCCCTATCTTCAAATGTGGGCACACCGGAAGTTAGGGCTTCAGCATATGAATTTTGGGGAAACGCATATTAGTATATTCAGTTCATAACAGGTAGAGTAAGAGGTTAAAGTGTGAGGATAGTCAATGTCATGCGGGTCTGTGGGGAGAACTCTTTTCTAAAAATGATCAGCTAGAGCTTTTCCAATACGGTGACCTTTGAGCAGTGATATAGTTTGGCTGTGTCCCCACCCAAATTTCATCCTGAATTGTAACTCCCATCATCCCCACGTGTCATGGGAGGGACCTGGTGGGAGATAATTGAATCATGGGGCCAGGTTTTTCCCTATCACTTGCTGTTTTCAGGATAGTGAATAAGTCTCATGAAATCTGATGGTTTTATAAGGGGCAGTTCTGCTGCACACTCTGCCTTGCCTGCCACCATGTAAGGTGTGCTTTTTTTTGCTCCTCACCTTCTGCCGTGATTGTGAAGCCTCTCCAGCCATATGGAACTGTGAGTCCATTAAATCACCTTTTGTTTACAAATTACCCAATGTCAGGCATTTCATCATAGCAGTATGAAAATAGACTAATACAATCTGAAACACAGACAAAGGAAGTGGAGCAGATGGATAACTGGGGAGGGATTTTTCAGGCAAATGTGTATGTGCGTGTATGTGTATCAGAGGAGGAAGAAGGTCCGGTTGGGGGCTGGAGTGAGCGAGGAGAGTTGGGGGAGATGAAAGCAGAGGGTGGATCACGGGTCCACTCCTACAGGGTAGTGAGTCTCAACTTTATCAGTCTCCACGCCCCATTTTACAGCAAAAGTTTTGTAATAATTATGTTTTTATTCTGAAATAAAATAGAATATATAACCCATCTATATAAGTAGACAGGAAGACAAGGTTAGAGGCATAACATAACGCATAGAATGCAATAGCTTAAAACATGCACCAAGTAAAAGGAGACAAAATTACGTGGTCTCTTAATGGAGCTTAAAGCACTTGCTTTTCCAATTGCTTTGAGGCAAATAGTCTTATATAACCTTTCAATATATTTTATTGTTTATTTTGAGACAGGGTCTCACTCTGTTGCCCAGGCTGGAGTGCAGTGGTGCCATCACAGCCCACTGCAGCCTCAACCTCCCCTCCACTTCAGCTTCCTGAGTAGCTGGGACTATGGCATGCACTATTACTCCCGGCTTTTTTTTTTTTTTTTTTTTTTTGGTAGAGACATGGTCTCACTGTGTTGCCCAGGTCAGTTTTGAACTCCTGGCTTCAAGTGATCCTCCTGCTTCAGCCTCTCAAAGTGTTGGGATTACAGGCTTGAGCCACTGTGTTCTGCATGTCAATATATGGAAAGTATGTGTGTAAATAGATAGCATAAAGTAAACTTAGGATATAAACCCTTTTACATTTCTGACAAAGCAAGGTCTGGGTTAATGCCATTTACTTTAATCAATTTCTTTGCAGAGTGTTGAGATACATGCTAGTCAACCATTTATGTTCTTTACACCTGTACAACACTTCATAATTACATACTCCAAAAGAATGAGGGAGACATTGTTTTCCCTTTATTTAAACTAAAGTAAAGTTCCACATTTTCTGCATAAATGGAGAAAATTAGATGAGACGCTAAAGTGAAATTCACAGAGATTTGGGAAAGGTAAATGAAGTTTCTGATAGTGTCTAAAAGACAGCTAAAGGTTAAGGAGAGTGACCTTGTGGGGAAAAGTTCAGTGAGCACAGAAAAGGTCAGTGATTCGGGAAGAGCAGTGTGAACAGAGCGTAGTGGCCTCCGAGGTCCTGCAGGCAGCTTGGCAGAAGCTGATCAAATGATCTGGATTGAGGGTGATTTTCCAGGGCTAGGAAGGAAAATGTCCACCAGCCACCCATGAAAAACAGCTAGTGCCTAAACATACGGGAACACTTCTGGCCTGTTTTTTCACTGCCTAATGTGCTGGGCTTAAAGTAATGTATTTCATAATACCCACGTGCCTGGGATATTTTGGGTGTTATTAGGCATGAGGGGATGAAATAGTTTCTAAAGTGACTCACTTCCTTTGATTTGTAAATACTTCTTTGGAAGCTTATCCTTAATATTTATTCAAAAATTTGTAAATGATTACTGATAAACCATGTATTTATTTATTTGTTTATTTTTTGAGATGGAGTGTCATTCTGTTGCCCAGGCTGGAGTGCAGTGGTGCAATCTTGGCTCACTGTAAGCTCTGCCTCTCAGGTTCAAGCCATTCTCTTTCCTCAGCCTCCTGAGTAGCTGGAATTACAGGCTCGCACCACCATGCCTGGCTAATTTTTGTATTTTTAGTAGAGACTGGGTTTCACCATGTTGGCCAGGCTGGTCTTGAACTCCTGAGCTCATCTTCTGCCCACCTCAGCCTCCCAAAGTGCTGGGATTACAGGTGTGAGCCACTGTGCCCGGCTACCATTTTCTTAAAGTCGATTTTTAAATGCTCGCACTCTGTACTTAATTAACATCAGCTGGGCAGTTAGAATTGAAGAAAAAAATCTCGCTTCATGATTTATAGAAATTCAAATCCAATAAACAAAATTTCCATCTATCTCTATATAATGATGAGTGAAATATAATTATATTTAATATGGGCAACTATATTGTGAATGTGTTTTAAAAATTGTTCTAACTGGTGGACTTTTCCCTACCAGGACTTTATATTTTGGTGTTGAAATAGTAGGCATTATTCCATAAATAAATATGTAATAAATATGTAAGGAAATAAATTAAATAATAAGTATGTTTTTCCTCTTCAAAAATTAGATACTGCTAATACTACAGCTCTAAAGCTCATGGTAACCTTTGGATAAATGTTGCAGTTACCTGGTTAATGCCAGCTCTTGTGCCCCTGTAGTCTAGCGCTGGCAGAGTCTAGGCTACAGAGTGAGATGGCCAGTTCTTGAGGAGAAAATGGGAGTAGTGGGGCTGCACTATGCTTTTAGAATTTCTCCTTGAAAACAACGGGATTGATATTTTTCTCCCTTGAAAGGAAGGAGTGAAGAGGAGAGGCCAGGCGTGTCCCATTAGGAGAGCATCCTCTGTATGGAAGGAAACACTAAGGGTGGGCAGAAGCAACCTCTCTCACCTCCCAGATAGAGGAGGAACTCTTTCTGCCTACAGTTTATGAATTATACTTGGGCTGTGCTGAAGAGTAATGAAATTATGAGATCATGCAAACCTTGGTGGTATTCAAAGAAAGACGCAATAGAACAAATGGATTCCTAACAGCAGGGATGCAGTGACTTCTCCTTGACAAAAGAATTACCTATGGAAGACATCACATTTTATTTCACAGAGGTTGAATCCCTATGAACAGATTTGATACTCCGAGTACTGAGAATTTTGCCTGGAGGTCGTCATTCCAGCTTGCACAGACTTTGAATGGATCAGCTGTACCAGACGCATTTGTTTTTTGCTTGGTCATTAGATTTTATATTACTGCAGAGACAAATAAAATAAAAATCATTTCAGAAGAAGCTTATTAGACTGGCATTTTTGTTATGAGTAGCCTACTTTTTACTAAATATGAATTTAAATCATTGTAAAACATGAAGAAGGAGTATTCTGGTGACTTATCATACAAGACTAAAAGCCCTCTACTCTGCCTCTGTTATTTTTTTTTAAAGGAAAGTGTACATATTTAGTTTGGGAGATAACAGCTGCAATACATTAAAGATTGATATGTACTCTCCATTTTTTACATTCATGACAGTGTTGATCAGGCCAGTTAGCTCGATTTTGAAGAATAGATTTTCCCCTTTTATTTACTATTTACATGACTGTGTTCTGACCATAGGTTTTATCCTAATCTCTTACAGCTGTCTTAGAGTGTGTCTCACTGGTCATAGGAGGACCAAAAAGAGGAACAAGAAGGCATCCTCGGGTAATAGAAAAGCAATGAGACCTGGAGTTAGTTGAGAGAGGAAAGAGAAATGGACAGGTGCCCCCACGCTGTGCCAAGCATCTTCCCATCATTTATCTTATCCGAAAGCATGTGAGTCTTACGGGCAGGAGTTGCTACCATTGAAGCGTAGAGGTATTCACTGATTTGCTCTGGGCCATAGTAGGTGTCAGGATCCACATTCACCTCAATCAGCATCTAGAGTCAGTGCTCACTCCACATGCCACAGCACATCAGGGGCTGAGTTCTGTTGAGTGAGCCTGTGAGCACTTCTGTAAAGTAGGAACATATACTAACATCAGATTGCTATTGTTAAAATTGTATGTCACAATATATGTGTTGCGCTTTGTTAAACTCTAAAATGCCAAACAATGAAGATGATGTATTATTGAAATTTTAGCAAGATTCTTTTTTTTTTTTTTTTTTTTTGAGATGAAGTCTCACTCTGTTGCCCAGGCTGGAGTGCAGTGGTGTGACCTCAGCTCACTGCAACCTCTGCCTCCTGTGTTCAAGTTATTGTCCTGCCTCAGCCCCACCCCAAGTAGCTGGGATTATAAACATGCACCACCATGCCCGGCTAATTTTTTTGTATTTTTAGTAGAGACAGAGTTTCACTATGTTGGTGAGGCTGGTGTTAAACTGGGGAAAATAACTTAAAATACTTACTCCTCCAATGTGGTATAGTTCAGTAGAACCATCTTCATAACAAAAAAAGAAAATCATAATTAAGATGCATTTTACTTGAAAATTATTGCCAATAGCAATTTGTACAAAGAAAGCTAGAATCACTAAGAAGAGAACCTCTGAAGCAACATGATACCTCCAATTGGTTGTTGAAAATCCCTGTGTACACAGGTATGGTATTCATAGGTGGGACACGTGGCCATAGCATAGGAAAATATTAGTATGATTAAAATGCAGCAAGAGCAGAGAAATGTCAGTGGGTGGCGTTAAATAAAAGATTTTTTTCTAAGTACTGTCAGGGAAAATCTTATGCTTACTACTTTCCTAAAAACAGACAGGAGAGTAAGTGGGGGAACACACACATACTTTTACCCTTCAAAGACATATCCCTTCATTCATACGTAGTAATCAGACACCACCAGCTGTTTCTTGCTCACAATCGTTTTCAAATTGCCTGGCTACTACTCACCTTGTTTCTTCCTTGCCTACACATTCGTCAGCCATCAGAACCACCTACAACGGCTTCCACTCAGAATAGCATGGTTACTAACAAATCCCCTCAAAGGGAAAATAAATGTGTGCAGTTGGGTGACACCCTTCCTTTTTCCTTCTTCTTCCCTGTGGCTGGGGCCCACTTGGCACTAAGAGTCCTTCTGTCCAGATGGTGCACTCTTTTCTGCTCCTGCTTTATCACATTCTCTGCCAAAGCACCAAGTGCCAGTTTTCTGGTGAGAATCTGCTTGCAGAAAGCTAGCTGCCTAGGTTATGTCACCTGCTTTGTAGTCTACTGGGGTTACAGTGAGACATTGGCTAGAAACAGAAGAGAAAGGAGGTAGGCAGAGATGCAGTTTGTACAAAAAAGAAAATTATTGGAGAGATGGAATTCATTCACTCACCTATGTGAACTTTATTAAGTTATTCTGACTCTCTGGACTTCAGTTGCCTCATCTGTAAAATGAAGGAGTTGAACTGGATGATATCTATTGCTTCTCACCTCTAACATTCTGCAATCTTGTGGCCATTAAGCTTATATTGCTTTAGATGATGCATAGAAGTGAGCTCCAGGCCGGGTGCGGTGGCTCATGCCTATAATCCCAGATCTTTGGGAGGCCGAGGAGGGTGGATCATGAGGTCAAGAGATCGAGACCATCCTGGTCAACATGGTGAAACCCCATCTCTACTAAAAATGCAAAATAAATTAGCTGGGCATGGTGGCGTGCACCTGTAGTCCCATCTACTCAGGAGGCTGAGGCAGGAGAATTGCTTGAACTCAGGAGGTGGAGGTTGTGGTAAGCCGAGATCGCGCCATTGCACTCCAGCCTGGGTAACAAAAGCAAAACTCTGCCTCAAAAAAAAAAAAAAAAAAAAAAAAAAAAAAAAAAAAAAAAAAAGTGAGCTCCATTGTGCTGAAAACCTTCTACATGCAAGTGTTGACTGTGTTACATATGGCTAGCCAGCAATTTGGGGGAGGAATAAATAAATTTCAGATAAATGTGGGTGGTAGCTTCTTTATAGCAAAACTGGGTCTGACTGATGAAACATTTCAGAGAGGTCCTAATTTCAGACTGTCGTGTTCTTCAATGTGGAGAAGAGTTTCAAGGAAGGTGCAGGTTACTTGTGATGTATACAATCAGTCTGGTGTTGCTGATGCAGGAAAGGATGATTTACTGGGGTTTTACTGTCATTTAGGTTTCAGGGACATAGTGATAAACAATTTTGAGCCTAATAGCCATACAGCAGGCTGTACAATGGCTCACACCGGTAGACTACAGACAATCTTTCTGCTAGAGTGCCAGATTATGGCTACATGCCCTTCAAACATTTTTGCTGAGGTGGAGGCCATTCTGAAAAGTTTTCAGAAGGGTTTGGCCTCATCTTGTTTCCTACTGAGGCCATCAGAGCAGCTGTGAGAGCACTGCTCAGGAGCCCTGGCAGGTTCTGGAGCTGTCCAAGATTCCCAGACTCCAGGGAAAAGTCTGCAGCATTTTTATAGGACTCTGGGCTCTCACTCAACTCCACGCTCTGCTGTGTGGCTATAAATGTTTCTTTGTAGATTTCGTTATCTACTATGAAGAAAAGTAGAAATGAAGAAGAATGCTTGAGGTAAAAAAGAATACTGCTGTTTTGATATTGAGCTTTCACATATCTGAGCTATGAGTCATTCCTTCATCAGTATGTTCTAATAACTATTTTGAATATACAATAACTACATACTTTGTGATCTTCCCACCTTTCTTTCCTATTTAAGATTTCAGATTGGAAGATATGGGTAGAACTGGATAGAAAAACAGGTTTTTTTTTTTTTTTTTCCTAAGCATGCTGGAGTTCTGCATACAATTATGTATTAAAATGGGTATCATTTAATACATATTTATTTTTTTGTGGCATATACCCTGCGGTGCACAAGAACAACTCAAATCACAAGAATCATATACAACTCAGAGCTAGGGAAATTTTAGTCTTAAAAGTATGTTTGTCTACTCAGACTGCCACAACGAAATACATAAACTAAGTGGCTTAAATAACAGAAATTTGTTTTCTCGCAGTTCTAGAGGCTAAACATCCAAGATCAGGGTCCTAGCCAATTACGTTTCTGATGAGGGCTCTCTTCCTGGCTTACATACAAACACCTCTACATATGTCCGCACATGGCTTTTCTCAGTGCACGCTTGTTGGGAGAGAGAGTGCACACTGTGGTGTCTCTTCTTATAAGGATGCTAGTCCTATCAGGACCCTACCTCTTATGGCCTCATTTAACCTTACTTCCTTAGAAGCCCTATATTCAAAAACAACCATGCTTGGGGTTAAGGCTTCAATATATAAATTTTGGTGGAATACAAACATTCAGTTCATAATGAGAAGTACACTTCTCAGGGGAAGTAGCGTAGGGTTGAAGATGGAATGATTTAGCAGCTAAAGAGTATGGTCTTTGGAGTCAGTTACATCCTAGTTTGATTTCTTGTTTTGCCACTAACTGTGTGACCTTGGGTGAATTCATTAACCAAATATTTTTTTAGTATCTACAGGGTCTTATTTGAGGAGTTGGCCATGGAGTTGGAAATATGACAGAAGTAACAATACTGTTCGTGAAAATCCTTAGAAGAGTAGACGGAGCATGTGAAGGATTCAGCAAATGCTAGCTTTCAAAATTTTTTGCTTAGTTCAGGCCTAGTAGAAATAGGTTCTATTTTGTTTAGAATCCCCTGGGTTTTCCAGGAATTGAGTCAACTCCCAGTGGGACTATGCTTTAGCAAACATTATACAGTTTCTACAAGGAGAGTGTATATCCCCGAGGTTTCTGAGTACTGTGCATGCATGTACTTGTGTATTTGAAAAGGCATGTGTTCAGGTGGGGAGAAGGAAGGCGGGTCACAGATGGCAGGGACAATAGAGCTGAACGTAAGCAGAGGTAAAAAAAGCCCCTTTCATTGTGCACTGACTGGTGGGACTGTCGTTACCGATTGTACCATAGGAGAATTTGTTCCCCAATGGTCTCTGGAAGTCACCCATTGTCTGAAATTCTTTCAGGTGAAAGGTGAGCTATAGGAGATTCTTCTGCTGGAGATTCTGCCTAGATTTTCCCAGTCTACCTTAGGGAGCCTCTTCAATTCTGAGGTCGTGTAGATTTCTTTTCCCAACTCAATCAATGGATACATATGCTCATGTGCACACACTTGTGTAAACTTATTCACACACACACAAACATATGTATACTTTAAAAAATTTATGATAGAGGTTTTTTTAGGTGTAAGAGCATTGAAGGTATAAATATTACAATCAACTTTGTTTTCTGCTAAGGGAAAGAGATGATTCAGCAGTGTCCTCTTGCTGTTTAGAATCACAGATAACATCTTTTAATTCTTTATTGATTTTAAAATTAATTTGTTACCATAACAATCTAAAGATACCTTAAAAGCTGTCCTCTAGAATCTCTAATAATACCTCAAGTACAACCACTGACTTAGAGTTTTTTCAATCACTTGAAAGTTTTCTAACCTCTAAATTGATTCTGGTGGCATCAGAATCCTGCAGAAAGGGCATCAGGCTGAGGGAGACCAGAGGAATTGGAGGGATTCTAGTCCTCTATCTGCCCCAAGCCAGGAAGGACCTTGAGAAAGTCACCAACAGATTCCCCTAGAAGCAGACTCTAGTCTTCCAGTTTAATTAATCTCCCTGGGATTTAATATTTTCTTTTTCAAAATGAAGGTGTTAGAGTAGATGACCTCAAATGCTCTTCCTGGTTGATCCTTAAAAGCAGCCAGACTGAAATGTCACAGACATTATGCTTTATGTGCATTAGCACACTTAATTTCCTCATAACACTTGTCACTCACATTATCCTCATTTTCCAGACACGGAAACCAAAGCCTAGAGAAGTTAAGAAATCTGCCCTGAGATCCTTACAGCAAGTAAGTAGTAGTCATCCCCAGACTGCATTCATAACCATTATGTGATCCTGTTCAATAAACTGAAATAGTCCTTGCTTGCTCAGACCTGAGCTTGGTTGTAGGGGGATGCAATTAAACATAAGACAGTTTTCTGCATTCCTGTGTGTTCAAGTCAGATTTGGGAAACATAAAGAAACAAACATACAAAATAAATACTTGAAGTGATTAGATTTTTGACTGCTATATAAACAGTAATTTGGCAAAGGAAGAGATACATTTGGGCTTGAATTCTTCAACATGGGCATGGGATCATGGGGGTTGGTCTTCAAATATGGATAGGATTTGAATAAACAAGGGATTTACAGGAGAGAACATAACAAGGGAAAAGGTGAGACAGAAGTCACATCTGGTAAAGGTAGTGGCTGGGCTTTCTCTGAGTTGTGGAGGTCTGAGATAGGAAATTAACTTGGGAAGATATAGTGCTGGCCTAGGGATGTGATGATGGGAATGTAGGGACTTCATTCCAAGTGACGACTAAAGGACAAAAGTAGATTTAGGGACAGTTTAGTTATAGGGGATGCAAGAAAAGGAAATATCAAAGACGACTCAAGATTTTTTCACTGGATTTCTAAGAAATGTTAATATTGCCATATTGCTCTGTGAAAGATATAAGGAAGGATTTGTGGGTGAAGAAAAAGCATGAAGATATATAGAACTTTCTGGGAGCTGAAACTTACTAGTGGAAAGGGACATGTGAAGAATGAGAATATTTTATCTTCTTATTTAGAGGGGATGTATGCGTATGTGTTGCTTCTGTGTTTCCAAATCTTCTGTAAAGTCTGCTCTACATACAAAGGATATGGGAATGCTCCTTTTTGTTTATTTTATTTTTGTTTTTGGTGGAAATCAAGGAAAGAGGCTATATTACTCCTATGGTAGATAGTTATTGTGCAGAATAGGAACAGTTTGTGGAGACACTGAGTTAATTTAGCTGGGGTTTGCAGCTAATGGGAGCATGAGGACCTACCCTTCCCAACCCAGACGCACACTCCTATCTCACCCTTGCTCTTCTTAACATTTGCATTAGACTTTCAATAGGATGTGGAATGGGAAGGAAAAGAAGAAAGCCCTCAGCTGATGAAGGTGTTAGATATGGAACTGTAATCAAGAAAAGTGGAGAGCAAAGTCATATCTATTAAAAGCAATCTAAATGAAGTAGAACAGTTCTAATCCTATGAAATCCATTCATAGCATGATTATTAATAAGTTGGTTTATTTAAATAATCTTTTATATCCCTTTAAAGAAATCCTTTGGAACTTTAAAAAGCAAAGAAGCTAGGATTAGCTCAAGTTTTCCTAATGCACATTCTGCCAGGTTTTGAGGAAAGTATATATTTGGCAGTTGACATTTATTGAGTACCAGTTAGAATTCAGGCATTACACTTTGTACTGTGGGAAGATACAAAAGAATCATGTCTCTGCCCTTGAAATCCAGTGTTTGCTTCACACATGGTGATCCTTTTCTATTGACAGAGAAGGTATTAACTTGGAATCTTAGATTTTAAAAGGAAGTTAGATTACTATACTATTCTTTCCAAGTCTGCAATGCTTTTTTTCCCTAAAACGAGATATTCCAACAGCATCCTTTAGCCTCTATTTCTAACTTGAATCTCAACAAAGGTTGAGGAAATTCTAGAAAAATCAGAGCTAGTAATGTTTATAGTGATTAGAACTCAGAGACACAGAGAGAGAGAGAGATAGAGAGAGTGTGTGTGTGTGTATTGGGGAGAAAGAGGAAGGGGGGTAAAAAAATTAGTATAAAAAATTGAGAGGTGACAATTGGGATTTTCAAATATGAAATATTTATAGGTCTTAAAACATTTTAAACTGATTTAGAAAACTGGAAAAATTACTAAACCAGGTTTAGGTTTGCAAGCTATTGAGTTTTGTCCCATGCCTCATTTTAAAACATGTTCTAGGCTGGGGGCAGTGGCTCATGCCTGTAATCCCAGCACTTTGGGAGACCAAGGCAGGTGGATCGCCTGAGGTCAGGAGTTTGAGACCAGCATGGCCAACATGATAAAACCCCATCTCTTCTAAAAATACAAAAAATAACTGGATGTGGTGGCGTGCATCTGTAATCTGAGCTACTTGGGAGGCTGAGGCAGGAGAATCATTTGAACCCGGAGAGGGGGCGGAGGATGCAATGAGCCCAGATTGCACCATTGCACCCCACCCTGGGCAAACAGAGTGAAACTCCATCTCAAAAAAAAAAATATATATATATATATATGTATATATACACACATATATGTGTGTGTATACACATAAATATATGTATATATATATGTGTCTGTGTGTGTGTGTGTGTATGTGTGTGTATTTTTTTTCTCCATGTCCATTTGTCCAAATGATAATTCACTACAGGTCAGCTGTATGATTTCATTCACGGAATGAAAGTATCACAAACTGGCATAAGATTGTTATCCAACGCGACCATCATCTCTATGACTTTTTCACTTGTTTTGAACCTTCAAGAAGGAGAAATTTCCTCTTCAGTGGATCTCCTTCAGTGGATCCCAGGATATCATTGAAAAGCTTGGACTATGTAAAGGATCCTGAATTCAGTTGAAATTTGTCTTTCTGAAGCTTCCATTTATTTATGCCAATTGATAACTTAGAAACACAAAAATAGGATAACCCTATTCATAATATAGCTGTGAAAGGTTTGAAGCTTTCTACCGTATCAAACCAATCTTCATCCACCT